AAACTGATGATGTGCCCTGTAAACTTTCACTCAATCCACAATAAAAACCTTAAATTAAAAAACAAACAAACAAAATGCACCTATTTAGTAGTTTCAGTGGTTTTGCAAATGATTTTTGGTATCATTATAGTTGGCTCACTATAGTGAGGTATTGAGATTCAAGTCTTTAAACAAACAACTTTGTTTAACATTAGAACTTTCTTACTTCACTGTGAACCACATTTTTTGTTTGTTTGTTTTTCTTCAGTGTTCTATCTGATCGGAGCTGTTTAAGAGTTACAGCTGGTCCCACCTCCCTGGATCTTGATGTTAATGTCCAGAGAACTCTAGATAACAACTTAGCAACTGAAGCTTATGAAAGAAGAATTAAGCGCCTCGAACAGGAAAAGCTTGAACTTAGTAGAAAGCTCCAAGGTAAATATATTTTTAAGTTATTTTTTTCCCTTTTAGAATTGGACTCAGTTACAATGTTATGAGCTAATTATCCCAAGTAATTGTTTTATCTTTAAATTGTTTTATAAAGTGCAATAAAAGGAAGTGCGGAATACATAATTAACAGTAAACAATAACAAAATGACATTTGTTGTTAGTGGATAATATGTTGCATAGAAATGTGTGGGAATAAATCATACCTCTGAGAGAGGAAAATTAAACTACCAAGAAAAAGGAACTATTTCCGTCCAGTACAAGACTTCAGTGACTCTTCTGTCCTATTCCTTCCATTCTGAGAAGTTCTCAGGCTTGGCACACTGCCCTTTTCTATCACATTATTCCTGTTATAGACTTGATGATTTTAAAATGCACATAGATGAACCTTTTAATACTCTGACTTCTTTGTTTCTTATTTCTCAGGTTCACTGACCTTGTTCTCCATCATTAACTGACCATTCCTTCCCATGGTAGTAAAATATATATTGAGATTACAATAACTAAAACACTTCATAAATATCAGTGTCACACAAAGCCTCCATAATTTTCTGCTCCTAATTTCATAGCTAACGCCTTCTCCTACCTTACCAACTCCCTCTTCTATCTTACCACCATATTCCTTTAATTCCACCATTACTTATAATTCTATTTCCATTTCACTGCTCATGATCATTATTAATCATAATTATATGTCATCAGCTCTGTTGTTCCTCTTTCTCTTGTCAAACTTCCTTGACAGAACCTTACTCTGCTTATGAACAACCTTACATTGCAGCTATATAGTTCAAGGTAACTGACTTAAAACATGTAATACACTGACAGATGTCACTTCACGTTCATAAGCACTAATCTCAAGTGGGCTCTTAATGCTGCCTAGAAATCCTACTCTTTTTCCCTAGCCCATTACTTACTGTATGTTGCAAAGTCCAGTGCTCATTCTTTAGTTGTTATCTTTTAACATAGCAGCAGCATTTGACCCAATTGTTTATTTCCTCCTGAAAAGTCTTCCTTCATTTGGCCCAGTGGGCAATTTACACATCTAGTTTTCTTTTTCTCTGTAAGTCTGTCTTTCACATATTCCTTTGCAGAGGTCTTCTTAAGTCTGAATGTTTGAGGACCCCAGACTAATCTATGCTTTCAGTACCTCAGACCAAAAACTTTAGAGTCTTTCTCCAGTGACTAGTCCCTCCTGACAATATGTCCAAAGTATGAGAGATGAAGATTGGCCATCTTGGCCTCTAAGGAGCACTCTGGCTACATTTCTTCCAAAATGGATCTATTGGTTCTTTTGGCAGCCCATGGTACTTTCAATATTCTCCTCCAACACCATAAGTCAAAAGCATCAATTCTTCTATGGTCTTCCTTATTCACTGTCCAGCTTTTGCATACATATGTTGTTGTTGTTGTCAGGTGCCGTCAAGTGGGAACCGAGTCATAGCGACCCTATGCACAGCAGAAGGAAACAATGTCCAATCCTGGGCCAACCTCACTACCGCTGCCACACTTGAGTCCATCAATGATGCCACCTGGCCAATCCATCTTGTTAGGGGTCTTCCTCTTTTTCTCTGACCCTTCACCTTACCCAGCATGACATCCTTCTCCAGCGACTATTTCCTCCGGACAATATGTCCAAAGTAAGAGAGACGAAGCTTAGCCATCCTGGCCTCCAAGGAGCACTCTGGCTGCACTTCTTCCGAAACAGATCTATTGGTTCTTTTGGCAGTCCATGGCACTTTCAGTATTCTCCTCCAATACCACAACTCAAAGGCATCAATTCTTCTACGATCTTCCTTATTCACTGTCCAGCTTTCGCATCCATATGAGGCTATTGAAAACACCATGGCCTGGGTCAGGCGCACCCTAGTCCTCAAGCTGACATCTCTGCTCTTCAATACTTTAAAAAGTTCCTGTGCAGCAGATTTGCCTAATGCAATACAGCATTTGATTTCTTGACTGCTGCTTCTGTGAGTGTTGATAGTTGATCCAAGAAGAATGAAGTCCTTGACAACTTCAATCATTTCCCTGTTGATAAGAATGCTGTTTATTGGTCTAGTGGTGAGGATTTTTGTTTTCTTTACATTGAGATGTAATCCACACCAAAGGTTGTGGTCTTTGATCTTCATCAGTAAATGTTTTAAGTCCTCTTCACTTTCAGCAAGCAAGGTTGTGTCATCTGCATGTCGCAGGTTGTTAATGAGTCTTCCTCCAATTCTGATACGTTTTTGTTCATAGAACTCAGCTTCTCGTATTATTTGCTCAGCATACAGGTTGAATAAATATGGTGAAAGAATACAACCTTCTCACACACCTTTCTTAATTTTAAAGCATTCAGTTATTCCCATGTTCAGTTCAAACAGCTGCCTCTTGGTTCAGGTACACATTCCTCATGAGCACAATTAAGTGTTCTGGAATACTCATACTTCTCAATGTTGTCCATAGCTTGTCATGGTTCACACAATCGAAAGCCTTTGCGTAGTCAATAAAGCACAGGTAAACATCTTTCTGATATTCTCTGCTTTCAGCCAAGATCCTTCAGACATCAGCAATGATATTGTTCGTTCCACAACCTCTTCTGAATCTGACTTGAACCTCTGGAGGTTCTCTGTCAGTGTATGATTGTAGCCATTTCTGTATTACCTTGAGCAAAACTTTACTCGCATGAGATATCAAAGAGGTTGTCTGATGACTTCTGCATTCCGTTGGGTCACCTCTCTTTGGAATGGGTACAAATATGCATCTCTTCCAATCAGTCGGCCATATAGTTGTCTTCCAAATTTCTTGGCCGAGATGAGTGAGTGCCTCTGTGCCGCCTCACTTTCTTGGAAGATTTCATTGTTTATTCCATCAATTCCTGGTGCCTTGTTCTTTGCCAATTCTGTCAGTGCACCTTGGACTTCCTCCTTCAGTATCATTGGCTCTTAATCATATGCTACCTCTTGAAACAGAAACCATTTCCTTTTGGTACAGTGACTCTGTGTATTCCTTCCATCTTCTCTTGAGGCTTTCTGCATCATTCAATAATTTGGCCAGAGAATCTTTCAATAACAAAAGTCGAGGCTTGAATTTTTTCTTCAGTTCCCCCAGATTGAGAAATGTGGAGCGTGTTCTTCCTTTTTGGTTTTCTGATTCCAGATCTTTGCACGTTTTGTTGTAATATTTGGCTTTATCTTCTCAAGCTGATCTTTGAAATTTTCTGTTAGCTCTTGGACCACCTCATTTCTTCCATTTGCTTTAGCATCTCTGTGCTGTAGAGCAAGTGTCAGTGTCTCTTCTGACATCCATTTTGACCTTTTCCTTCTTTCTTGTCTTCTCAGTGATTTTTTTGCTTTCTTCATGTCTGATGTTCTTGATGTCATCCCACAACTCTTCTGGTCTTTGGTCTTTAGTGTTTAATGTATCAAATCTGTTCTTCAGATGGTCTCTAAATTCAGGTGGGATATATTCAAGGTCATATTTTGGCTCTCGTGGACTTGTTTTCATTTCTATAGAATTTCTATAGAAAGGAGTATATTTCTATTATTTTTAAATTTTAGAATATGACCATATTTATCACTCTTTTTTTAAGAGTCAACACAGACTGTTCAAGCTCTACAGTATTCAACTGTTGATGGACCACTAACAGCAAGCAAAGATTTAGAAATAAAAAACCTAAAAGAAGAAATTGAAAAACTAAGGAAACAAGTAACAGGTAAATTTCTGTGGTTTACCCATTAATAAAGTTTGATAGATTTTTAACAATTTTTTATTTGCACACAAAATATTCCTTGAATACATGTTATGTATTATGCCATATAAGCTAATATACCAGCAAGGAAAATGCAAATAAGAATGGTTTCTGCTCTCTAGGATCTCACATTTTGGTCTGAGAAACAGGTAAACCAATATTCATTGCAATGCATGTCAAAAAGGATATCAAGAAAAATAAAAAGAGATATATGAAAATTGTAAAGGAAGAGTATGTAAGCTAGATTTGGGGAAGGAAGGATAACTCTTTTGGAAAACCTAAGTGAATTTGTGCTACAGAATTGGAATTTGGCAAAGAATATAGGAATGGGCAAAGGTATTAGGATTAAGGAAGGGCACTATACAAAGGAATTAATAAATAGTCATCAAGACTTGTGAAAAAAAACCACATTTTTTGTAATATAGTTTTTGGTATGCTGCGAAAATTAGTTAAAAGTTCCTGATTTTCATTCATTCGCACAACAAACATTTATTGAGCACCTATTATGTCCCAGCTATTGTTTTAGGCTCTCAGGATACAATACTAAACAAAACAGACAAAAATCCTTGCTCTTGTTCAGTACAGTTACTGGTTGGAGGGTGGAAGACAGACAAGAAGCAATAAATGTATAATTATGAAATGATAAAACATGTTAGAAGATTATTTGTTTTTGTTGTTGTTATTAAGTGCAATTGGTCAGTTCTTACCCATAGTTACCCTGGATAGGGTTTCTGAGGAGTGGCTGGTGAGCTTGAACTGCCAACTTTGCAGTTCAAAACAACTTCGCATTAACCCACAGTGTCACACCAGGACTCCTAGAAGATAAGTACTTTAAAATATCAGAATAAGGAAATATATTAGAAATGCAAGATAAGGAGTTTTGTGATTTTGCATGGTCAGAGATGGTGGCATAAGCAAAAGCTTAAAGGAGTTAAAGGGTTTAACCATGAAGCTCTCTGGGAAACACATGGTCCTTCACAGAGGACTTGGAGCACTCATCTGACTCCCAGAGGTGAGCAGAATTTTTCTAGAATACTCTTTCATTGAGGTTGTGGTCTTTTAATATGGATCTAGGCTTTATTTTTTTGTTGGGGGGAACAAGGTTAGATCTTTCAGTACAGGTTCCTCATGAACACAATTTAGTGATCCAGAATACTCATTCTCCACATTCTTGTCCATAGCTTGTCATGATCCACACAATCAAAAGCCTTTGCATAGTTAATAAAACACAGGTAAACATTTTTCCAGTATTTTGTACTTTCAGCCAGTATCCATTTGATATCAGCAATGTTATTATTCATTCTGCATTTCTTCTGAATCTGGCTTGAAGCTCTGGCAGTTTCTTGTGGTGTACTGTTGCAGACATTTTTAAATTATCTTTAGTAAATTTTACATGCATGTGATAGTAATAATACAGTAATAATACTGTTGGGTCAGTGCTCTTTGGAATGGACAAAAATATGGATCTCTTCCAACCAGTTGGACAGTTAGCTGTCTTCTAAATGTGTTAGCATAGATGAATGATTACCTCCATTGCTGCCTCGTTTGTTCAAAAATTTTATTTGTATTCCATCAATTCCCAGAGCCTTGTTGTTTGCCAATGCCTTCAGTTTTTTTGCAAAATCTTCTTATTGTAAATTGAGTTAAGGTTTACAGGTAAGATAACCAGTCTTACATTCTACATGTAATATACACTTTGTTTCATATCAGTGATTGCAACCCCCTCAATGGAACAATAGTTATCCTGCTTCCTCCCTGTGGCCCTATTTTCATTCCACCCAATTTCCCGTCCCTTCTCACCTTTGTCCTTAGGTACATGTTGCACCTTGATTTTGAATGATTTACCATTCCATCATTCATAGTTAACATACCGTATTAGTGTTCATCTTACCCCTATCTACGTTGGCTGAAAGTTGGGCCATAAGCTTGAGCTCCTTTCTAGGCCTGAAAGGTAGTCGAGGGCCATAGTCTTCGATTCCTCTTATCTCTTTTTAACCAGTCAGTCTGCTTTGTTTGATAAAAATAACTTTTAGTTTTGTTCCACATATTCTGCTGCTGTATCTGGAACCTTATAATGTGATTCCTTTTAGTGCAGTTATTAGTGGTAGCTGGGCACCATCTAGTTCTTCTGGTCTTAGAATTGTGGAGACTGATGTTCACATGTTCCATTAGTCCATTGCACTAATTGATTGCAAGCAACTTAATTTCTCATCACCCTTCTTTCTTCTCCATATGGAGAGACAAATAGCTGTACCTTAGACTGCCACTCACGAGCTTTTAATATCCCAGGTGCTACTCACTAAAGTAGCATATAGAACATTATCAGATTCCTGCTCCAACCGCGGGTTACTCGAGGGAAAGGCGAGGATGAGTGATCAGGCAAGGGACACATGCTGATGGCAAATGACAAGGTTTATTATAGCAAATGTGACTTATATATTGCTAACAGTTTCGTTTTCCTAGCAATGACTCACCTCTTGGTAAGTGAAACTAATCTCAACCTTCACCACTAGATGGCACCAGTGCTGGCTCCTGACATCTCCCCCTTCTTTATTTATTCAAGGGACGTTGCCTGTCTTAGGTGATCAGTGCGAGTCCCCAGTCTTACCTGTCATGGATACTCATTGCAGCATAAGGCAATGGCTCTGTCTTAGGTTGACTGGGGGGTCCACCAATCCTTACCTGTTTTTGGCTACACGTCATGCATGTGTCGGGGGAGTGCCTTCAGCTGGAGGCCGTGAAGACGACTCCACAGTACCTTATACTGGTTAACCACCATTCGAAGAAGGAAGGGAATGAGGAGACAAGCAAAGATGACAAATATGCCAATAGCTAGAATGGGACCCCACAATTGAGAGAGGGAGGGAATAGTAGGGAACAAATTTTTAAGGTTGCAAAGAAGTTGTTTAGCTAGTTCTGCAGGTTTGCTGTGAAGCTGGGGGGCATAATGCATAGCAATTATTTGTGCATGTAACTCAATCCATTCTCGGCTGGCATTCTCAGCAATCCATACTCTGTGCAGATGGGCCTGCACTATGGGCCAAGGGAAGGCCGAAGCATTATACACAAGCTTACTTACACAAATGGAGCGATAATCAGCATGGCATGCAAGGCGTTGCCAGACTATGACTTGCTCCAAGGTATCCCCAAGTAAGTTAACTGTATCATACAGTCCATTCAAGCGATGTTCAATGGCCAGATCAATCTTTTCTTGCCAGTCCCAGTTGTAGGTAACATTGTGTCGGGGTCTGACCTCGACATAGTTGTGTCGTTCACGAGTGTTTGGTTCACGAGGAGGGGAGATCCAGCGGCGATAGGGATAGCGAAAGAATACACAGACAAACAGAAGAAGGGAGACAATGAGGCACCCCAAAGCCAGGGTGGATACATCACTGGTGGGCAAGCTTGGGACTACAGGCATCATGGCCTCTGCAGGCAGCACCTCACTGCCCTGCAATCTTTACTGCATGCCTTCCAATCCGTAATGCACACCTGGGGAGGCCCGGGCCTCTGCTTTATTTAGGGGAGGAGTTTCACACCAAGCTAAGAGGGACTAAAACAGGATACAGCTAACATCAGTAATTTTTCAGACATTCAGGTAACTACATTGTACTTCACTGGTTCGAATCCCAGGCCAGCAACTTGGATTCTCAGGCCCAATTAACATATCTATAGCCCCTGAGATCAGTTGGGGGAAGGTGAGAGTTCTGCAGGAGACGCCCAGGTGAATGGGCTGCACCTGGAAAAGGGATTAGGGAGGATGGGTTCTTTGTCTATAGAACAAAGAACCGAGAAGTAGCTAAGATATTTTTAGTTAATCCTTTGGAGAAAGGTTTAACCTTGCAACCTTTAGTCTCGGCTTTAGGAAAATATCACATTTATCTGTGGATTTTCAAAGGCTCCAGTGTATTAATTTAATATATATACCTGAATATTAAGATGAAAGTAATTTTCCATTAACTGCCAGTGGCCTCATTTGTTACACTCAGCCCTAGAGGGCCTCGAACCTCTGACTAGTCTTACACGGTCTGCAACAACATTGTCCATCAGCTCGTTGACAGTAGCTGCAGTCTGAATTTCCTGAGTAAGTCAAACTGTGTTGGTGGTGAGGGAAACAAGCAAGGTGATAAAAGACACTATACCCATTACTATAAGTCCAAGTCCTTGGTTTGATCTAGAAAGCAATGTGGTAAACTCATTGACAAACTGCAGGCCGGCATCATCATACCACTCTTGGGAGATGTTTACTGGCAGCAACACATAGGCTGGTCTTTGTAGGACTGCAAAAGACATGTTAGGCGCTAGGGCAGCGACCCATGAGGTGAGGTTGCACCCCGTGCAGTTTAGATGAAATTTCTCATACCTTCCCGATGAGGTGGCATTCTTTATAGTAAGAGGGCCTACAAGGAAAACATAGGGCTCAGGGAGGAAGAGAGATACATGGAGGGAAGAGTTAATGGTGTTATAATGGCAGTTTTTAGACCTGGAGCAGGCTAAGCACTGCGTCATGTTGATGGTGTTGTAAAACGGCTTGCACAACATGTTCATCATATTGTTGTTGTAGCAAATTGGTTTAGTGTAACTAGCCCCGCTGTAGTTGAAGGGCTTAGTTTCTTGTTGAAGATGTCCCGCCGAGGGGAGGTTCAAGCCAATCTCCGTGTTATTCACATAGAGGGGAAGCGGTGACAGATTCTGTTCCTTCCAGGACACGGGTCTCGCCAGTGGGGGATGCAGGATGACAGCCCAATGGATCGCCGCCTGAGTCATCCACATGCCGCACAAGGCGCTCAGAAATCCAATGAGGACCAGGTTCATCCTGTGGGAAAACACAAACATCACCTCTTCCCCATATGAGAACAGGGTCGGGCCCCTTCTATGTGCCCGTTAGGGCATCTTTCCATTTCACCATAAGTTTCGGGGTGCTTGGCTCCCAGTTGCTGTGCCTATCTGCAGCCGTCTTTTTG